CTTCCCTGATCTCTCCAACAAAATGATCTCTCCCTCCTCAAATTTCCTTATAACACTTAGTCTAGACCTCTTCTCTGCCGTTATCTGTGTCATTTGAATCCTATTAATCTGTGGATAAGTGATATTCCTCACATATTAGAGTATAAACTCCTTCCTTTGATAAACATTAAGTATCTACTATGTGCAAGGCAGAGGAGCTGTACTATTCCTTAGTGTTCAGCACAATGTCTTATACTACAGTGTAGCTCTTTCATGTTTGTTAAATTGATTTGCTCTGGCAAATGAAGCACTTAAAATTCAGAGAAGTTAAGTGACTTATCCAAAGTCTCACAGCTAGTAAGCAATAGGGTTCAAATGAACCCTAGTCTCTTGACTCCAAGTCCATGGCTCTTTTCCTTTGATCAGACTGTGTCTTACCAGATTTGGAGTATTGTGTTTATTTCTGGGCTCCATGGATTTGTGAAATAAGTTGATGGGCTGAAAAGTGTCCAAAAGAAGGCAACAAACAGAGTGAAGGGCTTCAAGTCCATTTCACATGAGGATCCATTGAAGGGTGTGGGGGTGTTTAGCCTGGAGAAGAAAAAACACAACAGGAACAAAATATCTACCTTCAAGTATTTGAAAGTAGAAATTAGGTGGCAGAGTGCATACAGCGGGGCCTGGAGTCAGGGAGACTCAACTTCCTGAGTTTAAATCAGGCCTCAGACACTTACCAGCTGTGTGAACCTGGGCAAGTCACTTCACCCTGTTTGCCTCAGTTTCCTCATGTGTAAAATTAGCTGGAGAAGGAAATGAATGGCAAACCATTCCAGTATCTTCGACAAGAAAACCCCAAATGGGATCATGAAGAGTCAGACATGACTGAAACAACTCAACAACATTTGAAAGCCTATCATCTGGAAGAACTATTAGACTTGTTCTGCTTGGGCCCAAAGGGCAAAGGCAGGAATAATATGTGTAAATTGCAGATAGGGTCAATTAACTATTAGAGCTGATCAGAAGCAGAATGGACTGACATGTGGAGTTGGCGATCCCCTCCCTTTCCCTTTCAAGTAAAGGTGGGGTGCTCACGTGCCAGGCATCTTATACCAGGGATTCCTTTCTGGGATGGGTTGGACTAGATGGCCGCTGACGTCCAGTCCATCTCTAAAAGTGCTCCTTCTGTGGTTCTCCACAACTTTGTGAGGCCATCATAGGATCACAGAGCAAGGCCGGGGTTCTCTGCCTTTTTGTGTGTCATGGATCTCTTTGGTAGTTTGGTGAAGCTTATGGACCCTTTTTCTGAACAATGCTTTTAAATATATAACAAAAAAGTGATGCTACTTTATGTAAGATTACAAAGGAAACCAAAGTTCAGTGAAAATAAAGATGTGATTTTTTCATATCTAAGTTTATGGACTCCTGAAACATATCCATGGATTCTTTTGGGGTCTGTCTGTGTACCCTGGGTTTAGAACCCCTAGAACTAGAAGGTCCATTGAAAGTCATCTAGTCCAGAGGTGGGGAACCGGCAGCCTTAAGGCCACATGTGGCCCACTAGGTCTTCAGGTGCAGCCCTGTGACTGAATCCAAACTTCACAGAAAAAAATCCCCTTAATAAAAGGATTTCTTCTATAAAACTTGGACTCAGTCAAAAGGCCATACCCAAGGACTTAGAAGGGCACATGAGACCTCAAGGATGCAGGTTTACTCCAACACCCTCATTTAACAGATGATGAAACTGAGATCAAGAGAGATGACTTGCCCCATAAGATACACAGGTAGTGAATGTCAGAGGTGGAAGTTGAAACAGAGTCCCCAACACTAGAGACAGAGCTCATTCCATTACACCACTCTACCTGTCAGGGCAGGTACTGTCACACCCATTTGTTGTTTGTCCTTCATTCCCAAAGAGAACCATGACAGCAGGGAGGTGATGCCATGACATGCAAGTGAAGTGGATTTAAGTGAGGGAGGGCTATGCAAAGTCACCAGCCTCACTTTCTCCTCTCTAGTCAACTGGGTCCAGTGGCAACATGGCCCTGGGTGCGGTGGGGGACCGGGGCCTTTTAAAGCTAAAGTCTTTAACAGGTCTCAGTTTGACTGAGGCAATGCCCATTCAGTCTTTAAGGCTAAATAAGAAATGAGGCAGAGAACACCCATTTACAGATGAGGACAAGGCATTTCCACTTGGGAAAGTTAGTTCCGTTCATATTTCCATGAAGACCAGGAATGCCTATTACTTCTATACACTTTTAAGAGTTCTCATAACGGTTAGGTGTAAACCAATGCTTTATCATAGTGGGGAGGTGACCCTATGCTCTCCAAAGCTATGCCAATGGAGCATAAGCTCTAGCAGGCCCTACCTAGCCAGAAAGGCCTGGTGATAAATTGTATGCCTATTGACCAAGGACCAGCCCAGATTAGTTTTGAAAGGTCCATTATCAGAAAAATGATGAACCAGATGATGTGTGTATATTGGCCAAAGCCACTCATGAAGACAAATGCCATGGAGTATTTGTAATCTATGTAGGCAGAGGATATACCCACACTGACAAAATTAAGTCTGCTTGAAGCATAGCCTTATAACTCCTCTTTGTTATTATAAGCCCCTGGTTTTCTGCAGGAAATTACTGACAGTAACAATTACTGGAAAATCGATGAGTGTGTGCTTATATAAGATACCACAGAGTAGGTGAGAAGTTTGAAGTTGCCGATTTTAACACTGCCTAATGGGTTAGGGTGAGTGAGGCAATTCTGGGAAGAATAAGGCTCAGGGCCAAAGATGGTAAGTCTGATAATACAATGTATGGTATGGGGGAAGCTGGAGGGAAAATGTTCTCTTGTTGTTTCCCTGGCTCTTGATTGTTAAGAAATTTTTTTAAATTTAGTTTAATTTTTTTCAATGAACAAAAATCTATTTTGTCTCCTTCCCCTACTCACCTCTATTGGAAAAACAAAGACAAAGGCTTGTAACCAAGAAGCATAGTGTTGAAAGAAAAATCTTCATTAGGGTTTCACCCTAAAGAAATAAGGTAGGCTCAGGAAAAATGTAGCAAAAGCAGCTTATTATTACATCAAAAGAATACACATTGCATAGTACTAGCCCTGAGCTCAGGCTGCACTTACCTTTTAAAGACAAACTTTCCTAACAAGAGAAGTAAAAGTCTGAGGCAGGATTTGAGTCTTCCTGATTCCAAGCCCAATGATCTAGCCTCTGCACCACCTAGTGGCCCAACCACTCATCAGCTGCTGTTAATCAAATTTTTTCTTTTCCAGCCATGCCTCTTGATTTATTGAATTCTAGTTTGAGGACAGTGTCAAATGAGTTAACATAAAAAAAAAGTGCCTTGCAAATTTAGAACAGCTAGCTTGCACAGTGGATAGAGCATTGGGCCTGGAGTCAGGAAGACTCATCTTCTTGAGTCCAGATCTGGCCTCGGACATATACTAGTTGTGTGACCCTGGGCAAGTCACTTAACCCTGTTTACCTCAGTTTCCTCATCTGTAAAATTAGCTGGAGAAGGAAATGTCAAACCACTCCAGCATCTTTGCCAAAAAACAAAACCTGAAGGAGGTCTATTAAGAGCTGGACACCACTGAAAAGACTGAACCAGAAGTATCAGATGACAATGATTACTAAAGAACTAATTCTGCACCTGATATTTGGGCACCAAAATGAGCCTTTTTCTTCTCCAGGTTAAACAGAGGGATTATTTGTCCTTGTACCCCCAATATCTAGCACAATGTCTAAACACGAAGTAGGTGTTTTATAAATGCTCATTGATTAATTGATTGATTAGCATGGAGAAGGGAAGGCTCACTGGAACCATGAATGATGTGTTCAAGTACTTGAAGGGATAGAGAGGGATGAGATTTGGTCTGTTTGGCCCCAGAAGACAGAAACAGTAGCAGGGGGGGGGGAAGAGTTGAAAAGAAGCAAATTTTATCTTGAGATAATGAAAACTTTTCCAATAAATAGAGTCATCTAAAAGTGGAATGAGAAGGTCGTGGGATCATAAATCTAGAGTAGGAAGGGTCCTCAGAGATCATTTAGTCCAACCTCCTCATTTTACAGATGAGAAAACTGAGGCCCCAAGTGACTTGCACCACTTCATATGTAATAAGGATCAGAGACAGGACTGGAATTCAGGTTCTCTGACTCCAGAGGCAGTATTCTTCACCATTCCACCGTCCCACCTCTTTGGAAGTTTTCAAACAAAGGCTGGATGAGCATGGGATCATAGATTTTAAAGATGGAAGAGAGCTCAGGGGTCAACCCTTAAGGTCAACCCTCCCCCCCTTATTTTATGGGTAAGGAAACTGAGGCCCACACAAGTAAAATAACTTGTTCAAGGTCACACAGGTAGTGACAGAGCCAGGATTTGAACCCAGGTCCATTGGATACAAACTCAGCACTCCATCCACTGTACCACGCTGCCCTTCAGCTCCTTAGATATGTCACATACTGGGGGTGGTTTTTCTGTTATTGATAGGACTGTGCATAGACTAACCACTGAGGTATCTTCCAACTAAGATAATCAGACTGTATGTTAGCATGCTTAGCAACTGAGAGATTTATAGAATCCTTACCAGAAGATGTGCATTGTAGTCTCTGAGGGAACACTAGCTACCCATTACTTGAGTGGTCAATCAATCTTTCAATCAATCATTTCTTCCTAGTTTGGAAGAAATAATTGCTGTTTGATTCCTTCCTTTTGAAAGTGTTTTTATTTATTTGGTATTTACTAATTTGGGCGAATATTGTATTCCTCCCAGTAGAATATAAGCTCCTTGAGAGCAGGAGCTGGTTGTGTGGTTGTTATTTTTATCCTCAGCACCTGGCACAGTGCCTTAGGCATAGCAGGCAAAAACATAGATTTTTAAAAACTGTTTATTAATTGTTCAATGAATTGGGGGAAAAGAGGGGTTTGTCAGTGCTGCATGGGCCCCTGAGTAGACCAAACCTTATTTACTTTCAGATAACCACTAAATTCTTTACCTTCCTCTCTCTTCTTAAGGTAAAGCCACAGCTTGAAAAAAAGTCCAATGAAAAATATGACCGCTTTGAAGCTGTAGAATACAAAACACAAGTTGTTGCTGGGACTATGTATTTTATAAAGGTCAGTGTTCAACAAGTCATTGAATTCTACTCAGTTTATTTCCATTTGAATCTACACAGAAAGTGTGGGAATAGTTTGTCCCCTTTCCATATGAGTAACTGGAGAAAATAAAGAATTTAGCCCAGACAAAATATAAAGTGATGGTGTGGTAACTGAGAGAAAGTGAAGAGAGCAGAAAGGAGGAAGGGACTTTGGGAAGAGATTCACGACAACCTGGGGAGCAGAGGAGGACTAACCTGGTAGATTTTGCTCTCATAGTGAAACTGAGAGATGACAAGAAAGAATAGATGATAAAATGGGGGGGGGAAGGAGAGAGAAAAAGAGAATGCTAAGGACTCTCCCTTTACCCTCACTTTGAGTAGCCAGGCAACTGGAGAGAAGCAAGACCAAGACAGGATTTATAGAAATGAGTTTCTACCAGGGGAAGCTCCGATGTTTAAGACTGTGACTCTGAGAAGTCACGCATACATACTCTACTTACTCATGATTATTCATTTGGGGAATTCCATTTGTTTTCATGATTCCTTCAATAAAATGTTAGCCCATAAGATTGTGAACTGTATGCTTGCAAGTGAAGAATAAGTCTGAGGATACATTGTCCCAAGCTTTCCTGGTTGGGAACCATAAGATAAAAGAGTGAGAAAATTCCCAAAGTACTTGGTCTTTCAAGTCATGATAGTTTCTCAAACAAGGCTTATATGTTTATGTTCTGAATCCAACTAGATTCTATGCTGCTTGAGATATAATATCACAAAACGTGAGCACCAGGTCACCACAGACCCTAATCACTTTCATTGGTGCCCAGAATTTCAAACACAATCTTGTCAGAAATTATTGAAGTGCACTTTACTTTTTCCAAATCTTAGATATATTTGGGGGATTTTATCCAAATTCATGATGGATTTTTATCACTGTACTAAATTCTGGGTCTGTGAACCCTCTCTACCAACACAGATCTAAGCTCATCTATTACCTTCACTGATTAGCCCCAGTGAGTTGCTTTGGGGCCTACCTAAGGTGGTGAAGTGACTTACCTAGGGTCATACAACTAATAAGTGTCAGAGGATTTGAACCCTCTCCAGGTGCAAAGCCAGCACTCTGTGCACTACAGCATAATTTTAAAAGAAATATATGACCCTCGATTCCCTCAGTGTATCTAGCAGTGGCACACATCTGGGAACTCCTTGGCCACTTTGGGGATTGTGGGTAGACATACCCAGGAAATGTATTCAGGAAGGATCCAAGTGTTTCTCTATGTAAGGTGCAGCAGAGTAGAACTATCTCAGCTGAGTTGAGGAGGGTATATTAAGGTGCTATGAGATGTCAGTCAGGCAGTAGCATCTGCTGCAGCCTAGGGAGGAAGGAAACAAGAATTGATCAAGTACCAGCTGTGTGCTAAGGCCTTCATAAGTATCACCTCATTGGATGCTTACAACTGAGGGAGAGACATTTCCCAGGTGAGGAAAATGAGATTAAGGGACTTACCTAGAGTCACACAGCCAGTAAGTGTCTGAGGTGAGATTCATACTCAGGTCTTCTTGACTCCAGGCTCAGCATTCTCTCTTTTTGTGGGAAATGCTGGATCTGAGAACCCTCTCTACTAACACGATCTGAACCCAACTATTGACTTGTCTGATCAGTCCTAGGGAGTCACTTGGGGCCTACAGTGGTTATGTGACTTACCTATCCAAAGCACCGCCTAGCTGTCTTGTTGGTTTCATTTACTCTGATTTTCTAAGGACAGAACTCTGTTAAAGACAGTGTGCTAAGTGCTACTATTTGGGAGGGATATGGGAGATTAAAAACCACAGATGGGACCAGTGAGCAGCTAGGGCTATCCCTCCAGGAGCACAGCATTAGAAGGAAGACACAAGATGTACAAAGGCCATAACATTTCATGAGGGCTTGGGTAAAAATCAAAAAGGGGGAACCCATATTTTTGTATGGCACACGATCGTTTTCTTCTATACATTTCAGAAAATAAAAGCTTTAAAAATAAATGAAACTCTGGGACAGAGGCACAATTCCAATTCAACACAGTAATTGACTCTGTTATTAAAAATTAGTTGCTTAGGTGTTCAAAAATCCAGGTGCTTAACAACTGGGGTCAGCTGTGCTGTAATGAAAACAGCCCTGGATTTGGGATCAGATTTTGGCTCAGCTGCTAATTACCTTGTGACTGTGGACAAGGGAAAGGAAGAGAATAGTGGGGGAGGGGGTTAAGAACAAGTATTTATTAAGCAGCTACTGTGTGCCAGGTAGATACTAAGCTCTTTGTGAATGTGTTCTTATTTGATCTTCACAAGCCTCTATGAAGTAAGTGCTATTATCCCCATTTGGGGGGACTGAGGAGTTCATTTGAGGAAACTGTGGCAGACAGGAAATGATTGAAGGTCTTCCTAACTCCAGGCCTATCATTCTGTCACTGCATCCTCTAGAAGCCTTACAAGTAACTTACAAACTGGACAAGTGACTAACCTCACTGGACCTTAGTGTCCTCAACTACAAAATGAACAAATGGGACTAAAGTTCCTTCCAGCTTTAAATCTGTGACCTTAAGAACTAACAGTAGGATGATATTGGTGCCTATTTGAATAGTCTTACTTATTGCAACTTTGTGGGACTCAATTCTTTAGCTTTAAAAATAAAACTATGATCTCTCAGGTAACTTCCTGCTATATTTTTTCAAAGCATGAATAGGCCCATTCATAGGTTAGAATAAAAAACATAAAATCCATATCAGAGGTCATCTAGTCAAAACCCCTACCTAAAAACAACGCCCATACAATGGCCCTGAGAAGTGAGAAGTGCTGGGTTGGAATACATGTCACTGATTCTCTACTTCTCTTTATTTGCAGGTATGTGTTGGAGGTGATCAATACGTACATTTGAAAGTATTCAAACCTCTCCCTTACTCTAATGAGCCAATGGAGCTGTCAAACTACCAGACCGGCAAAACCAAGGATGACGAGCTGACCTACTTTTAGAGTCATAGTCTAGAAGGCATCTGGTTCCTTTCATGAGCGTCCTGTACCAATAAACATAATTGAAACAAAACACAGATCTTTTTAAAGTATAGTTTGACTTTGATGATGTATTGGTTAGTTTTGGTCAATGGTCCCTTTTTCCCTCTCTCTCTCTCTCTTTTTTTTTTAATAAGGGATGGCTCACTGGATAGAGAAAAGGGAAAGGATATATTCAGAAATAAAATTATTTAAGAACAATAGATATCAATTAAAAAATTTTTAATTAATTCTGAAATTATCTGCTTTAAATCATTGTACATCTCAGCTCATCCCATAGCATATACTGGCTTTCCAATAGTGAAGGAGCATTAGGTTACTCTATAAAACTGCCAAGCATATTTGAGTAGCACCTTCTCTGGACTCCTACCCCAACTTATACATGCAGTTATGGGTTGGGTTCCCAAATAAAGGCTGCTGTCTCAGGTAGTAGGGGCTACTGTGTGGTTCTACATCCCTGTATCTCAAGGGCCCCCATTTACCACCAGTCAGCAGACAGAATGAGCAAAGCCATTTACTCAGATGGTGTAGAAGTTACCAAACATTCCCCCCACACACACACATACATCATAAACCTGGGGTATACTCTCCCACGAATAAACGGTGTCCATGGGGAAAGTGGACTCAAACTTGAAGCACAGTGGTAGTGAGGTATATGCATAGGATACGTGTGTGGCAAGCCTACTCACAATTTCTGGCACTACACAACCTAGAAATTGCTTCTCTCTGGATGGGTTACTCAGCTGGATATCCGGGGTCTTCTCTCTGTAATCTGACCCTCTTCTCTGTTTTTTCATGTTCCTTGAAGCTGCTTCCACCCTCGAGTGGCTGTCTCCTTATATCCATGTCTATCTGAAGGTTGACCAACATTGCTGGGGTTGAAATGACAGCTCTTCTCTGCTGCCTGTACTAATGAGTAGTATTTGCCTGTCAGTAATAGTACCACTCAGCTCATGTCAAGGCATTTCCTCATCATGAAAAGTTGGATACCCCTTCCCTTGTAGGAATCTCCTTGGAAGCTGCTTCTTACCTAGTGTCTAATTGGAATGTTGTCTTTCCCCCAGTACTTGCCACAGTTATTTCTACATATGGTTGGTGCTTAAGTCAAGATTCTTGATAGAGTTAACTTCCTCACTGAGGCTTGTGCTCAACTAATCTGAGTGCTGGAAGCTCCTTATTGCCTTCTAGCATCAGGTCTAGGGACTCAAGAGAAAATGGAAAAGATGGCCATTTTTTAGTTTTCTACTACCTTTTTTTTTGGGGGGGTGAGGCAATGGGAGTTAAATAACTTGCCCAGGGTCACACAGCTAGTAAGTGTCAAGTGTCTTATATCAAATTTGAACTCAGGTCCTCCTGACTCCAAGGCCGGAGCTCTATCTACTGCACCACCTAGCTGCCCCTCTTCTGTCTACTTTTTACTAAGAGAAGTTTTTGAACATTTAAAAATATCCTTTATAACACCACCACCTGCACATTGTGTATCCACACATCTCCAAATGACAATTCAGTATCCTGGATCCACTCTGAACTGTCCAGCTGGTATTCCCAGTGTCTTTTCTTGGCTCCTCTTCTTTCTGCTGTTCCCTATGGACTGTCACCAGGGGTGGGCTTTGGTTTTTCATTGTCCTTGCTAGGACAAGTCTACCTACAAAGATTATGAAGCTTTCTCTTCCTATGGTAACTGTTCCATCCTATACTAATTTGCCTCCTGCATGGCTGCATTAGTCAGAACCAAGCAAAGTTTTAGTTGCATAAGTGGGACGTTCAGGAAGTTTACTTTTGAAGGGTTGCCCTTGGGAGGGTGGGAAGGAGGGAGGGACCCACCTCAGGCTTATGGTACTCTGTGGGTACACATTCCTAAAACTACAGCTCATGAGTCTCCACCAGTACTTTTGCCTTTAACAGTCAGTCATTTGACACAATTTACTCAAAGCAAAAGCATTTCCTGAAAATAGTATTGTAAGAATCATAGCTATAAAACATTCTCCCATAAATCAGAAGCACACTGCCATAAAACCTCACATCACTGGAAAGAGTGAGAACACAATTAGAGAACATACAAAGTCAAGGAGACTTATACTTCTATTGCCTCGGGCCCGATGTTCTTTCTCTTCTCTTGATGTCTTCACAATGGACACAATATTTCTGTTGGCACATCTTATTTCCTCCCACAGCCTGCTCCCTGGTTGTGAGAAGTCCCCACTGCGCAAGTAAATGCACTGCCAGACACCATGTTTGATGGGGAAGGGGAAAGAGAAAGAAAACTGTCTCCCTCTCTATAAACAACAAGGAGTTACTTTCTCTCAAGAGCCAAGTGGTTCTTCCATAGCTCCTCCAGAGATTAAACTCCTCAGAGACATCTCCTGCATTGACTTTTGCCTGGAGAGTGTCTTGTTTTCTCAAGGGCCACCAAGGGTCGGGGATCCTTTTGTCAGCCAATGCCTCAATAATGCCATCAAGTTTGATTAAAGAATTTCTTCACATCTGATAAAGCAGAAACAAAAGTTAGTCATTTCTTTTCCCTTTCTTAAAGACTTTATCACCTTGTTGTCTATTAACTGGCCCTTGAGCTCCTCTGATTTCATGAATTAGGCTTGTGGGAAATTAGATGATCAGGGGTCTCCAGTTCAACTTTCTCCCACTAATCAAGTATTTTCTCCATTCTCACCTTACCTTGCATATATGCAGTATTCTTCTTGCAGAATGTAATCTCCTTAAGAGGAGAGATTTATCAATTTCTTTTCTGTTTAGCATATATCCAATACATTAATAAGCTTTTGTTGAACTGAATTATCAGCTGTGCTCCCCTTGCATTTCAGTATCCAACACCAGGGAATCAATTTCCTTTTATGTCCTTTCATAAGCACTATTTATCCTACTAGCTATATATATTTCACCCTATCTCCACCCCTTACAAATTATTTTATTATATCCTCAAGCACCCTGAAATGTCAGTAATTATCACCAAAGTAAAAGCATTTTCAAATCTGTCTAAAAAGTTGAGATTACATGTAGAGATCTAGGTTATCAGGAGTGCAAAAAAGAACAGCAGTTCTCAAACTTTTTGGTTTCAGGATCCCTTTATACTCTTAAAAATCATTGGAGACCTCAAAGAGCTTTTGTTTATGTGGGTTATGTGTATGAATGTTATGACCCCAGAGTTAGCCCACCATTCATTAGACCTACCTCTTAGCAAGATGAAGTCAGAAAGCCATCCACCCTAATATCTAGCTGCCTCTCATGTTATGAGTAAGCTGTTCTCAAAAGAAAAATTGCAAGCCATCAACAACCACATGGGAAAATGCTCCAAATTATACCACTCATAATCAAAATAAGAGTCATACAAGTCAATGCCACTCTAAGGTTCCATTTCTTATCCATTAGTTTGGCAAAGATGACAGAAAGGAAAATAACAATTATTCCAGGAGTTGTAGGGCAAGCTGTGTACACACATTGTTAAAAGAGTTGTGAAGTGTTCCAAACATTCTGAAAGGCAGAAGATGGAAATGAAAAGCAAATATGTAGAGGGAGCAGGGTAAGGTACCCATGTAGGAACATGGTGGTGAAGTCTGGAGAGTGAAGCATAGCTGGTCTTGCCCTTTTTTCAAAATGGAAGTTCCAGGAGGAAGTCACTGATGGGAAAAAGGCAACTCAACGGTAGAGGGAAGTTGAAGCCTGGTAATCTAGACCAGAAAGTGAAGCTTGGACAGTTTGAGACTTTCAAATATAGTTCCTGGGACAATGGTTTCTCTTGCAGCTCTGTATGGCTACAGAAGGCATGAGCTGCCCATCTTTCCCATACTCCATAGCTTCCTACCTCCCCTTCCTAGTCAGCTTGAAGTCCTTCTAGGATTCTGGAAAGCTCCTCCACAAGAACCCCTAGCCTTTTGCCAGAGAGAAGGCTTGCTTTGTAATGGGCCTTGGCCTAGTATTGCTGAGAGGATGCTAGTTTACCTGTCTGAGCAAGAGTAACACTTCTCACTACATCACATTTCCAAGGCAGTCTGTACAAAGCACGACCCCTTCATGCATTCTCTCTTGAACCATGATTCTTGATGGTCTCTGAATTCAATGAAATTTGCCCAGGGGGGAATACCCTACTACTCCTAACTTATCACCAAGTATGTCTAAACCATGCCTACCTATAGCATGGGGATTTCAAAGACAGAAGTCTTTTTCCTTCAGCACCCATGCCAGAGTGTCTCCCACCCAAATGACTGCTCTCCACCAGTCCCAAAGCTTCACAAAGCACTCCAATGCCTTTCCCGTTGTTTCTCAAATCCCTGGGGCAGCTCAGTGAGATTTATTCAAACTAGCCAGCATTCTTTGGGAAAAGGGGTGGGGGAACATGGAGCCAAGCACTTTCCTCTCTACAAACCTTAACAAGCACTTATTAATCCCTTATCATAGTAAGTAGTAATAAACATAGTGACAGGCACTGTGCTAAACGCTGAGCATACAAACACAATGCCCCCCCAACACACACACACACACACACACACACACACACACACACACCAAGAAAGGACAAAAAATAAAAAGAAGCTTTAAAAAATGGGAAGGGATGAAGGCATACAGCTTCGGGTTATGGTAGAGAAGTCCCAAGTGCAACCTGGTGAGAAATGAAGACATGGCTGGCCTGGGCACTCTAAAATGGAGATTCTAGAAGACCCCCTCCTGTCAGAGGGTGGGGCCACAGTGGCAAAGGGTACCTCCAAGGTGTGAATTCCAGGGCTAGAGTGATCCTCTAGAATGAAGAGGTTTCTGGGGTATGGTAGAGATATCCCAACAGTAGTCTGATAAGTGAAATATTGGGGAGTAGAAATGGGATAGGAAAAGGGGCAATACTCATGCTACGTTTATTCTACAAAAATTGACTTGCACTTATGCTTTCAGGAACACCTCTGCAATGTTAGCTGGGACTAGAACATGGGTAACCTGACATTTTCTCTACTATTTTGCTC